TACGTATCTATCTATCTATCTATCTACGTATCTATCTATCTATCTATCTATCTATCTATCTACGTATCTATCTATCTATCTACGTATCTCTATCTATCTATCTACGTATCTATCTATCTATCTATCTATCTACGTATCTATCTATCTATCTACGTATCTATCTATCTATCTATCTACGTATCTATCTATCTATCTATCTACTATCTATCTATCTATCTATCTACGTATCTATCTATCTATCTACGTATCTATCTATCTATCTATCTATCTACGTATCTCTATATCTATCTACGTATCTATCTATCTATCTATCTACGTATCTATCTATCTATCTATCTATCTACGTATCTATCTATCTATCTACGTATCTATCTATCTATCTACGTATCTATCTATCTATCTATCTATCTATCTACGTATCTATCTATCTATCTACGTATCTATCTATCTATCTATCTACGTATCTATCTATCTATCTATCTACGTATCTATCTATCTATCTATCTACGTATCTATCTATCTATCTATCTATCTATCTATCTATCTATCTATCTATCTATCTATCTACGTATCTATCTATCTATCTACGTATCTATCTATCTATCTACGTATCTATCTATCTATCTATCTATCTATCTACGTATCTATCTATCTATCTACGTATCTATCTATCTATCTATCTACGTATCTATCTATCTATCTATCTATCTACGTATCTATCTATCTATCTACGTATCTATCTATCTATCTATCTACGTATCTATCTATCTATCTATCTACGTATCTATCTATCTATCTATCTACGTATCTATCTATCTATCTACGTATCTATCTATCTATCTATCTATCTACGTATCTATCTATCTATCTACGTATCTATCTATCTATCTATCTACGTATCTATCTATCTATCTATCTATCTACGTATCTATCTATCTATCTACGTATCTATCTATCTATCTACGTATCTATCTATCTATCTATCTATCTACGTATCTATCTATCTATCTACGTATCTATCTATCTATCTATCTACGTATCTATCTATCTATCTATCTATCTACGTATCTATCTATCTATCTACGTATCTATCTATCTATCTACGTATCTATCTATCTATCTATCTATCTACGTATCTATCTATCTATCTACGTATCTATCTATCTATCTATCTACGTATCTATCTATCTATCTATCTATCTACGTATCTATCTATCTATCTACGTATCTATCTATAAAGGAAAGACTAAAACATGCAAAGCCAAACTTCAGAGGTAAGAGCATCACTCACCCTAACAGTTTAATTATGAATTATAAAAAGCTTGTACTTCTCCCACCTCCTTTTCAGAATTGTGGTGCTTTGCTGTTATTTTCTCAGTTTTGTGAATAGATTTTTGCAAAGTGGCATCCTCCTCACATAAACATGTCGCTAACTTGTATTTTGGGACATTTCTCCATTCTAAAACACGAAAAGCCAAAGTAGCGTATCATCATTGCTCTTTCTTGCTTTGAAAAGACCAACCACGGACAGCACGCGGATACAGCTCTATAAAACAGTCTGCGAGCACAAGCATCTGAGGAGCAGTCTGACCTGTTGACGTGAGTGTGGTGGGAGGCGTGGAGTTTCCTGATGACTTCCTCGCTAAAGTCAAAATGCACTCTTCCCCTGGCGCAAGGTGACCTCCGGAACATGGCCCCAACATGGAAGACCGATCACACGCACCCTCATGCACACAATAGTAGCAGTAGCAGTAGCAGTCGTAGTAGTAGTAGTAGTAGTAGTAGCAGTAGTACCAGTAGCAGTAGTAGTAAAAAATATTAGTGTGCGTACAAAGTGACTACTGAGACTCCCTTCACTTCTTCAGATTCAAGCACAGCCTAAAAACCATAATGAAAAGGACCAATCAATAACGTTAAAATGTTGAGTTTTTGGCATTTGTTTTGAAATATTAAACAGTAGCAGCCAAAAAAACATACTTATTTTAATTGAAAACACATAATTCAAGAGATTTTTCCCAATTGGACAAGTTTGGACGCATTACTGTACATGGTTTTATATGTTTTTAATGCAATGATAGTAATTTCAAGTACAATTGTTAACCATAAAAGCTACAAAATGAATGTCAATTGGCAGAACAGTTTAGTAAATAATTCAAGCCATTTTAAGTCAGACTAAATGTTAATATCTTACGGTGAACACAGCATGCACAAGCAGACAGCATCCATTCCTTAGAGCCAAACACAGGAGACTATCCATAAGCATTATGTCTGAAGTAGTAGTGAAAAAAGCAAAGCCATTCACCATAAAGACCAGTCATGCAAAAACTCACCACCACAAAAGTTACACCCGTTCCATTAAAACCGCAAAACACTCGCACACCCAGAAGCTTAAAATGTCATCACAACAAGAACGCCAAAGCAGTTCCATTCATTCATAAACGTCCGAAAACAAAACAGTCCTGTCCCGTGTGTGTGGAGAGAGGCTGGTGTCATGTCTGTGAGTGCGGAGTGACCGGCCGATACACTTCCTTCCCTGTGTTTGCATGTGCGTGAAGTAATGTGTGTGTGTGTGTGTGTGTGTGTGTGTGTGTGTGTGTGTGTGTGTGTGTATAGAGTGGAAGGAGAGAGGGCTCAAACGTGGAGACTGGATTCACTGGGTTGGAGTCAGAAAGGCTGCTGCAGAAAGAGGAGCAACTAATGTGCTTTCTTGGTCTTTCACCAGAATATAGAGCTCAGGTACAAGTAAGTAACTAAGTAAGTAACTAAGTAAGTAACTAAGTAAGTAATCTTTATTTATATACCGCCTTGTACATTTCTGCTTTGTGAGATCAATAAAGCATATCTTATCTTTCACACACCAGAGTCACAAAGCCGTTTACATTTGTTATTTTTGGGCATTAGTCTGTCACTCCACACAGAGATGGGAGGGGCCAGTACAGGAGGCACATGCCAAAACTATTGTGCATGTTTTTAGTGGTATGGGAAACCGGAGCACCCGGAGGAAACCTACGCAGACACAGGGAGAGGGAGAACATGCTAACTCCACTCAGAAAGGCCCTGGTCCGACCCGGATTCAAACCCTTCTTGCTGAGAGGCGAGAGCGCTATCCACTCTCTCTGGTCTGATAAGTTCACAACATTTTACTATTTCTGTTTTTCCCAAAGGTTGGCAGCAGAGTTGGATCAGTTAATGAAGTATTTAGTTAAAGTTTCTGCTCCAAGACGGTCACAAACTACAACTACTGCACGCAAAATATAATGTTGGAAGAAGAAGAATTGTGTGAGGCTACTACGTGACTCAAATGGTCATTTTGTTAAAGTAATGAGTCAGTAATGATTATAAATTGGTAAAATAAAGGGAATTCTCTTTGGTGGTAGCATAGGGACAAGGCCGATAACATTATTTACCTTTGATACCTGTGAAATAATATCTTCAGTCGACAGTATTTGGTGAAACATTTGAAAACATTACATTTTGAAGTAAATAGTGTTAATACCATTTGAAAAGCCAACAATTATGTGCAATATTTCTTCTTAAGGTGGTATGGGTGATTGTAGATGCAGGCCTACCTTAAGAGCCTTGTGTGGTAGAAGTGGCATCTGGCATTATCACAGGGGGCTGCGAGCAGGATGCCACCGTGTGTGTGTGTGTGTGTGTGTGTGTCATAGGGTGTGTGTGTGCGTGTGTGTGTGTGTGTGTGTGTATGTGTGCGTGTGGGGGCGTGTGTGTGGGGGTGTGTGTGTGTGTGGGGGTGTGTGCGTGGGTGTGCGTGTGTGTACAGTATGTGTGCGTGTGTGTGTGTATGTGTGTGTGTATGTGTGTGGGGGTGTGTGCGTGTGTATGCGTGTGTATGTGTATGTGTGTGCATGTGTATGCGTGTGTGTGTGTGCGTGTGTATGTGTATGTGTGTGTATGTGTGTATGTGTGTGTGTGTATGCGTGTGTATGTGTATGTGCGTGTGTGCGTGTGTGGGGGTGTGTGTGTGTGTGGGGGTGTGTGTGTGTCATAGGGTGTGTGTGTGTGGGGGGCTGTGTGTGTGTATGTGTGTGCGCGTGTGTGCATGTGTGTGCGTGTGTGTGTGTGTGCATGTGTGTGTGTGTGCGTGTGTGCATGTGTACGTGTGTGCATGTGTGTGTGTGTGTGTGTGCGTGTGTGTGTGTGCATGTGTGTGTGTGTGTGTGTGTGCGAGAATGTGAAGTTAAATCTTAATCAGTGCCTGATTGTTGTAATTGTATGATATTATTTTCAGCTCTTTTCGTTGGTAAATCTTGACAAAATACAGCGACAAACTTGTTCATTTATTAAACTGAAAACTCCTGGATCCAGACTCGGATCACCTCCAAAATCTTGTGAATTTCTCATTATTCTATTTCAAGAGCTTCATGAACACTTTCTACAAATCTACTCTTCACTTTTGACGTTATTTGTAAACGTATAGACAAAAAAAATGCAGTTAGAACGTGAGAGGTAAATACTCTCTAAATCTGCCCAAATGTAGATTACTCAATGGAGATATAACAGAAGACCAGTGGAAATCAGATTATTCATTATTTTTCATTTCACCATAACCGTAGACCATTCTGATTCTGACGTCTTCTATAGTGTTTTGCGAGTGTGGAAAACAATTGGCACTTATCTCCTTATATGGGCATTTTTTCAGACAGCGCTATAGTCATGCAATAACAGGGACACCTAAACAAGATGTTGCTAAAAACGAGTGTAGCTAAAAAAAGTTGCTAAGCCAAGCTGTGCATTCCCCTTTGAACGAAGGCTCGTATCTGGATTGACCAAGACAATATCTACAACATATAAACACCCGGATCACAGAGAGGGCTAAAACATGGATTTTTAAAAACTCCATAGTGGTGAGCGTGGCATTAACCGTGACTGAGCAAGAGGAGTCAAAAGGAGCCAGAGATGGAGGAAATCTTCATCCCTGAGCACTTCACATTTGGGTTTGATTGAGCTAAAGTGATGCATTTCACTCAAACCTGCACTGATCAGAAGGCCCAGGACAGAAGGCCCAGGACAGAAGGCCCAGGACAGAAGGCCCAGGACAGAAGGCCCAGGACAGAAGGCCCAGGACAGAAGGGCCAGGACAGAAGGGCCAGGACAGAAGGCCCAGGACAGCAGACCCAGGACAGCAGAGCCAGGACAGAAGGCCCAGGACAGCAGACCCAGGACAGCAGACCCAGGACAGAAGGCCCAGGACAGAAGGCCCAGGACAGAAGGCCCAGGACAGCAGAGCCAGGACAGAAGGCCCAGGACAGCAGACCCAGGACAGCAGACCCAGGACAGAAGGCCCAGGACAGCAGACCCAGGACAGCAGAGCCAGGACAGAAGGCCCAGGACAGCAGACCCAGGACAGCAGACCCAGGACAGAAGGGCCAGGACAGAAGGCCCAGGACAGCAGACCCAGGACAGCAGACCCAGGACAGAAGGCCCAGGACAGCAGAGCCAGGACAGAAGGGCCAGGACAGAAGGCCCAGGACAGCAGACCCAGGACAGAAGGCCCAGGACAGCAGAGCCAGGACAGAAGGGCCAGGACAGAAGGCCCAGGACAGCAGACCCAGGACAGCAGACCCAGGACAGAAGGCCCAGGACAGAAGGCCCAGGACAGCAGACCCAGGACAGAAGGCCCAGGACAGCAGACCCAGGACAGCAGAGCCAGGACAGAAGGCCCAGGACAGCAGACCCAGGACAGCAGACCCAGGACAGAAGGCCCAGGACAGCAGAGCCAGGAGAGAAGGGCCAGGACAGAAGGCCCAGGACAGCAGACCCAGGACAGCAGACCCAGGACAGAAGGCCCAGGACAGCAGAGCCAGGACAGAAGGGCCAGGACAGAAGGCCCAGGACAGCAGACCCAGGACAGAAGGCCCAGGACAGCAGAGCCAGGACAGAAGGGCCAGGACAGAAGACCCAGGACAGCAGACCCAGGACAGCAGACCCAGGACAGAAGGCCCAGGACAGAAGGCCCAGGACAGCAGACCCAGGACAGAAGGCCCAGGACAGCAGACCCAGGACAGCAGACCCAGGACAGAAGGCCCAGGACAGAAGACCCAGGACAGAAGGCCCAGGACAGAAGACCCAGGACAGAAGGCCCAGGACAGCAGACCCAGGACAGAAGGCCCAGGACAGCAGACCCAGGACAGCAGACCCAGGACAGAAGGCCCAGGACAGAAGACCCAGGACAGGAGGCCCAGGACAGCAGACCCAGGACAGCAGACCCAGGACAGAAGGCCCAGGACAGCAGACCCAGGACAGAAGGCCCAGGACAGAAGACCCAGGACAGAAGGCCCAGGACAGCAGAGCCAGGACAGAAGACCCAGGACAGAAGGCCCAGGACAGAAGACCCAGGACAGAAGGCCCAGGACAGCAGACCCAGGACAGAAGGCCCAGGACAGCAGACCCAGGACAGAAGGCCCAGGACAGAAGACCCAGGACAGAAGACCCAGGACAGAAGACCCAGGACAGAAGTCCCAGGACAGAAGACCCAGGACAGAAGACCCAGGACAGAAGGCCCAGGACAGCAGACCCAGGACAGAAGGCCCAGGACAGAAGACCCAGGACAGAAGGCCCAGGACAGCAGACCCAGGACAGCAGACCCAGGACAGAAGGCCCAGGACAGCAGACCCAGGACAGAAGGCCCAGGACAGAAGACCCAGGACAGAAGGCCCAGGACAGCAGACCCAGGACAGCAGACCCAGGACAGAAGGCCCAGGACAGCAGACCCAGGACAGAAGGCCCAGGACAGAAGACCCAGGACAGAAGGCCCAGGACAGAAGACCCAGGACAGAAGACCCAGGACAGAAGACCCAGGACAGAAGGCCCAGGACAGAAGACCCAGGACAGAAGACCCAGGACAGAAGACCCAGGACAGAAGACCCAGGACAGAAGGCCCAGGACAGAAGGGATGTGAACGCAAACACAAACAATAGAAGAGCCTGTCAGAGAGAAACATCACGTCTGAAGCTATCAGGATGTTAGGATTAGGATTCAAGTTATTTAAGTTTTCCCCTCTTTAATTGAGAAAAAAGAATTGCAAGTAATGTTTATTTATATAGCGCATGTTACAGACCAAGGCACAGACCCAAAGCTCTTTCCAATGTTCAGAGTCAGATATTGTTCCAATCCTTCCACACACGGTGATGACAGAAGCGAGTCCAGAACACACTGGACCATCAAAGCCTCTGACCCAACACCATCCATTCACTCTCTCATTTACATTCAGACCTATTGTGCATGTTTTTAGTGGTAGGGGAAACCGGAGCACCCGGAGGAAACCTACGCAGACACGGGGAGAACATGCAAACTCCACTCAGAAAGGCCCTGTTTCCACCGGGATTTGAACCCTAGACCTTCTTACTGAGAAATGAGAGTGCTATCCACTCAGCCACCAACAAATATTAAACTGTATATGCCAATTTGAGATTTAAGACAATTAAAAGGCAACAAGGCCAGACTTTCTCAGGGGCAGGATTGGAAAACTTTGATATGATTGAGGCCGCCCTGAGCTTTACAACGAGGCATGACATCATTCAGATTTGACGGAGCTGAAGTTGGTTGAATGACATGTTTAGTTTCTCACCAGCTACACTGTAAAACCCTAACTTCAATCTTACTTCAGACATCAAAGTTATTTTAAATTGATTTTTCCAAATAAGTTTATTGTTAGTTTATGTAAACCTTGGCTGTATCACTCAGCTTTTTCAGACAAAACGAGAGGACCACCCCCACTCAGCCAATCAGCTCTCAGTCCAAAACATCAAACAGGGACTCACCAGGGAAGGAGGTTGTGGTCTGAGTGGTTCTCTTTTCTTCTGTTTGCTTTAACCCCGAAAGCAAACGATAATATCTGATAACACTGATAAAGTATTCTTATTGCCTTTTAGATTGTATCTCCTCTTTTGCAGACATAATAATACTTGTGAGAATGTGATGATTTTTTGTGTGCTATTTTGTGCATTTACTGTAAACCAAGTCTGAATGATTCTCGAGGGTGTAGCTGTCAAGTCCAGACAAGAGTTTTTGGAGCTAACACCTGAGTCGCATAATTATAATACTCCATAATAATCTCTACTTTTCCAGTAAGAGGAACAGAGTGAAGTGGCCTCGGGCTGGACCATGCTCAAAGCCTTGTCAAGTCAGCACAGAATAGAGCCGATAAATAGATATAAAATCCACCATCTCTGTAGAACCAGACTCACATACTATCTTTATTTATATACTCTACAGATCTATATCTCTAAGTAAGTAAGTAAGTATAGTAGTAATGTTTATTTATATACTCTACAGATCTATATCTCTAAGTAAGTAAGTAAGTATAGTAGTAATGTTTATTTATATACTCTACAGATCTATATCTCTAAGTAAGTAAGTATAGTAGTAATGTTTATTTATATACTCTACAGATCTATATCTCTAAGTAAGTAAGTAAGTATAGTAGTAATGTTTATTTATATACTCTACTACAGATCTATATCTCTAAGTAAGTAAGTAAGTATAGTAGTAATGTTTATTTATATACTCTACAGATCTATATCTCTAAGTAAGTAAGTAAGTAGTAGTAATGTTTATTTATATACTCTACAGATCTATATCTCTAAGTAAGTAAGTAAGTATAGTAGTAATGTTTATTTATATACTCTACAGATCTATATCTCTAAGTAAGTAAGTAAGTATAGTAGTAATGTTTATTTATATACTCTACAGATCTATATCTCTAAGTAAGTAAGTAAGTATAGTAGTAATGTTTATTTATATACTCTACAGATCTATATCTCTAAGTAAGTAAGTAAGTATAGTAGTAATGTTTATTTATATACTCTACAGATCTATATCTCTAAGTAAGTAAGTATAGTAGTAATGTTTATTTATATACTCTACAGATCTATATCTCTACGTAAGTAAGTAATATAGTAGTAATGTTATTTATATACTCTACAGATCTATATCTCTAAGTAAGTAAGTAAGTATAGTAGTAATGTTTATTTATATACTCTACAGATCTATATCTCTAAGTAAGTAAGTAAGTATAGTAGTAATGTTTATTTATATACTCTACAGATCTATATCTCTAAGTAAGTAAGTAAGTATAGTAGTAATGTTTATTTATATACTCTACAGATCTATATCTCTAAGTAAGTAAGTAAGTATAGTAGTAATGTTTATTTATATACTCTACAGATCTATATCTCTAAGTAAGTATAGTAGTAATGTTTATTTATATACTCTACAGATCTATATCTCTAAGTAAGTAAGTAAGTATAGTAGTAATGTTTATTTATATACTCTACAGATCTGAGTCTCAAAGCGGTTTACAATTGTTAATTTTTGGGCATTTGTCTCTCACTCCACACAGAGATGGGAGCGGGGCCAGTACAGGAGGCACATGCCAGAACTATTGGACATATTTTTAGTGGTAGGGAAAACTGGAGCACCCGGAGGAAACCTACGCAGACACAGGGAGAACATGCAAAGTCCACTCAGAAAGGCCCTGGTCCGACCGCGATTCAAACCCAGGACCTTCTTGCTGAGAGGCGAGAGTGCTATCCACTCAGCCAAGGTCTCATCTACTGCTAATGTACAGATGTAAACATACTGCTGCTAATGTACAGATGCTAACGTACTGCTGCTAATGTACAGATGTAAACATACTGCTGCTAATGTACAGATGTAAACATACTGCTGCTAATGTACAGATGTAAACATACTGCTGCTAATGTACAGATGTAAACATACTGCTGCTAATGTACAGATGTAAACATACAGCTGCTAATGTACAGATGTAAACATACTGCTGCTAATGTACAGATGTAAACATACAGCTGCTAATGTACAGATGTAAACATATAAGTACACTTTACTTGCACTAGATTACACAGTACTTTATACTTGCCTCTTATTTTGCCAAATGTTAAACTTTTACACTTCATTTTATTATTTTCATGATAGATTTTATACTTATTATTGATGCTAGAGATAGAAATTTTGTTTTATTTTTATTAGTATAGCTATTGCTCACTTAACTTGTGCCATGTGCTCCTCTTTCCTACTGTTCTATAACTTGCGATGCAACACCGAAATTTCCCCACTGTGGGACAAATAAAGGATCTCTGAATCTTAATCTTAATCTAATTTATTCACAGCATTTCAATATAGCCATTATATAAAAAAGATAATATTTGACATTTTACTCTAAATATGCCTTTGATTTTCCCAATTAGTTGCGATAGCTTTATGCCACCAGCAGAGAGCAGTATAGAGCAGAGGAGAGACAGTCTGTAATTCTTAGCTATGTCCGCTAGATGGCAGTGTGGCCCCGGTCACAGCACAGCAGACATCTCCAGAATGAGGCCTGCCCATTAGATGTGGTTAAGGCTTGCTGAGGCTGGCTAAGGCGGGCTGAGGCGGGCTAAGGCGGGCTGAGGCTGGCTGAGGCTGGCTGAGGCGGGCTGAGGCGGGCTGAGGCGGGCTAAGGCTGGCTGAGGCTGGCTGAGGCTGTGCACACCGGCGCTGCTGGAGTCATTGACGCAGAAACAAAGGCCATTATCAACAGAGGTTTGGAGACGTTAAAGGAGATATACTCTGCTATTAGTTCCATTTTTTACTTAAGAGCAATGAGCACGGCAGACCCACATGTCAGTCATTCGTGCAGTAATGTGCAGTAAGGCTGTAATTATTAGCAATTATTTTCATAACTGTCTTGACCAGAAAAAAAAAAAACAGTGAATATGGGATTATTTATACATTTGACCAAAACAACAGAGACTCAAATAACTGGAGATGTTTTAATCTAAATGTCTGGTTTTCTATTGGCACATCAACAATTATCTGATGCCCTTTGAGATGACAGTTTGGTGATTATGGAGAACACACATAACACATTAAATCAGATCTTTTATTTATTTTTATTTGTTTAATTCTCTGGGAATTGGCAGAGATATGTGGCAGGAGAAACAGAGTCGTTTTCTTTCAAGTATCAATGATGTCATACAAATATTTTTTTTATGACAACATGTAAGTATCAATGGAAATTAGACTTTAGTTAAGATTATACAAAGGAAGCCATGATTCAAAATTAAAGATTCAAGAATTTATTTGCCATTTGCAGTAAAACCACATTGGAAAAATTGTGCGAGACCAGGATGTGTACTCATAAGTAGAACACTGATGGATAAAAAAATAAAAATAATAATCTATACTGGAATGAGAAAAGGACCAAATATCCATCTCCACATCCAAGTTCCACAGTTATATTTTATTCTATAATTATTATTTTGATTTTATGATCTATAATCTTAAGATCCTGTTTGATGCAATCTACTCTTATTTTCTTCTTATATTCTGCTGTAATGTGTGCAACCATAACACAGACATTTCACTGTGGGACAAATAAAGGATTATCTTATCTTTTATTTTGAAAGGCTGAAAACGAGCTAACCTAACCCAGCACTGATGATGAAATATCTGACAACTCATTATAATGAATTTGAGGTGCTGAGTCAAAACAAAACTGGGTCTAGTTCTGATGATGAAATATGTTGCAACCAGTGTGGGCGGGTCCCAGCTCAAAAGTGGTCAAAATGACGTGCGCTGACATGCTGCAGTACCACCCCGGGCCTGTGGGGGTGGACCCGGAATAAGAATTAGCCAATGCTAACATATAGCATTAGCAGACCTCTTGAAAACGTCTTTACAGGATGGTCCAAAAGTGGCTCTTGGCCCAAAGCTCCGTTCCACATGTGTGTCAATGCTGAGTGTTCTGGACCAGTCTAGTTTAGTCGCTGTGGACTGTTGAAGTCTCTCGTTTAAATGAATGAGGCTCGTGCCGTGGCCATTTTGAATCACTCCATGAAAGCCCAATTTTTGCAGTGTTGCCAACTTAGCGACTTTGTCGCTAGATTTAGCGACTTTTCAGACCCCTATAGCGACTTTTTTTCAA